GCTAAAGAGTCTGCAGCCCCCGCCGCCACTCCCCACAGACCTGGCGTGTGAGCCTCACGCGATGCTTGACTATGCAGAGCTGTGCCCCTTCGTAGTCAGGGCGGCCCGCACCCACGCACCTCCTCACGCCCCCTCCCCCCAGCAGCCCACGCCTCTCCCCGCCCAGGGCCGTAGCCTCGTTCAGAGAGGAGGGATGGGGTTTGCTGGTCTAACACCCGGCACCAGGGGAACAGCCCCTGGTGGATCCCCGGCCCCTCCGCTGCTGGGAGAGGCGGCCATGCCCAGTGCGTCCGGAGGAGGCGCCCGCAGAGCAGGTCCTGGGAAGAGGCGGACCCCTGCCCCACCCCCTCCCTCGCTGCCCCCTGAGCTGGAGCCGGAGGAGAGGGAGCCCAGGGTGGATGGGGCAGACCCTCCCCCGAGGTGAGGCTGGCATGTGCTCTCCCTCCTGCTGCGTGCTAGCTGCCCGCCCCCTCCGTACAGACAAGCATGCTCACTCTGAAATAAAGAGGATTTGAAAGAACAGACCGGCCTCAGTCCTGCTGTGCGGTGTGCATCACCCAGAGGCACAGAGCCAGGGAGGACAGGCGCCAGGGGCTCTCTCTCCCCGTTTCCCCCACAAGGGCCTGCCTGGGTGTGAGCTGTGCTGTGCCAGGTGGGCAGACCGGGGTCCCATGGGGCAGTGTATATTGGTGGGTGCACAGGGGCCCCTGCCTCTGCTGCCACCCCCAGCTGCAGCCAGGAAGCACTGCCCTGCTCTGCCCTGTGCCGGGCAGAGGGGCTCGGAGGGCATGCCCCACGGAGGGGCAGGCACGGGGAGGAGGCGGCGGAGGTGCCCTGGAGTCGAGCTGGTCAGGAAGGCGCAGGGGACCTCCAGCTGGTCTTGCTGGCCCCGCGCCACCCACCTGGGGCCTGTCCAGAGCGTTTGGGAAGGGCCAGGCTGGCAGGCCATCTCCTCCCGCCTTCTGCCAATCCATCAGCCTGGCTCCTGAGAGCAAAGCCCACTGGCTGAGGACATGGCACCAACTGCACTTAGCAGACAGAGCCGATGCCACGCCCCTCAGGGCGCCCTTGCCGCCCGGATTGGCCGGTCTTGCTCCGCCCCTGCTGCCTGGGCACAGGCTTCCTCTCTGCCTCCAGGAACCTTGGCGATCCCTCTGGAAGGGCTGGCAGGGAGGCTGCGCTATCCTGCCACATCCCAGATACTCCCAAACCCTGCCCCTCTCCGTCTGGGCCTCTCATCTCTTCCCGTTTCTAGCTCTGCCCTGGGCCAGGCAGGGCCAGCGAGCTGAGGGACCAGCCGGGAGATGGGCGTGCTCCTGCCTGCACCGAGGCCTCCTGAGCGCACACACGTTTCGCTGAGACCCCTGGGTGGGTTGTGTGGCTGGGGTTTCCCAGAGAGTGTCCTGGGGCTGACAGAGGACCTGAACCAGTCAGCCAGAACCAGTGGCCTCGCAGTTCCCTGTCCCAGCCCAGGGTGTGGAAGCCCTCCTGGCGCTCTGGAAGGTTCCCAGGGCCGCCCCGGCCCCCGCAGGCAGCCCTCACACAGCAGCGTGTCCGCCTGGCTGCGGGGGTGCCACAGAATGAGAAAGTGCTGGCGTGGCCGTGGCTGGCCCTGCGGCAGGGCTGCTTGCGTGAGGTCGAGGCAGGCGTGCCCCTGGACTGGGTGTCAGAGCGGGCTTCCTGGGAGAAGGAGCCTGACTGGCCCTCAGGAGCAGTTAGGTGGCTGTGCAGGTAGGAAGGCTGGACGGGAGGAGAAGGGGTGTCCGGGAACCCCGAGTTAGCCCTGTGGCTGGGGTGGAGGCAGTGCGGAGGGTGTTGACTGTGGGGTTGGACTGTGGCTGGAGCCAGTGGAGGGTGCCGGGCGCTGTGGCTGTGGAGAGCGCGGGCTGGTCCTGAGATTGTCATTTGCACAGACTGCAGTGTCCACGGGCCTGGCGGTGACCTGCGGAGTACGTGGTCAGGGCGCCTGAGCCACAGCCAGTCCTCAGGCTGGGGGACGGAACGCTGGCCAGGCGGATGGCAGCATGGACACTTAAAGACCGACCAACTGGCTCTGTAGTCCAGTCAGTGTGATGTTCATGCTCCATTCTCTGAACTAACACAATGCGCACTGTCACCCCAATAATAGCACCCCAGCACCTTCAACCACAACACCTCCACCGTCACCAACAGGTCAGCCTGAACCCAGTAATCACGGAGCCCAAGCCCACACCTCACCAGTCCGTCCACATGTCCTTTCCACACCCAACGCCGCTGGCATCAGTGAGAGCATCAACCAAAGGAGCGCCAGCAGGGCCCAGGGTTGGCGAGCTCCACCTTGATGCCAACTGTGTGGAGGGACGAGGGCCCTGCAAGGGGGACGGAGCCAGCCTGTTCTCTCGCCACGCCTGCCCGGAGGCCTGTGTGGTTGACTGCAGTTGGTTCGGTTTGGTGCTTGTTAGATATTTAGAGTGAGTTATGACCAAGGCGAGAGGCCTCGGCCTGGCGGGGGGATTTCGTGGCTCCGTTTCAGGCGGAAAGCGGCCAGACAGGACCCTGGGCACGTGCTGCCCGCTGTCCGGGGCCCGCTGCGAGGGGGCTGCAGACAGTGCTGCTGGGCGGGATGCCGCTCGCCAGGCCCCAGGGCGGCTCGCCCCTGCCCCTGTGCCGCTCTGTGATTTGAGTGCTCCTGGGGCCCGCGCCCCGGAGCCAGGCCTCACTGGGAGCTGTGCCTGGGAGACACCAGGTAAGCCGGTCTGACCAGAATTGGAGCACAGGGGACAAAGTCAAGTTTGGTCTGTCTGTGCAGCACTGTCCCGCCCAGACATGGGCATCCCTCCGGTCCTGGGCAGCGGCCTGGGCTCCCAGAAGCCCCGGAGCCTGGCCAGGCCAGGGAGCAGGCGGCTGGTGTCCGCGGCGTGCCCAGGCCTCGCGGCAGCTGGGCAGAACGGCTCCAGAGAAGCTGCCGGAAGCCAGGCTCCCCCGTGAGGGCGGGCCGGTGTGCAGCGGGCCCCAGCGTGGTGTCCTTTCTGAACTAAGCTGGGGAGGGGCTGGCCGGACGTGGCACTGCCCTGCTCAGGGTGCTCCCCGCCAGGGGAGGCGTTCTCCAGCCGCTCCCAGCCCTCCCGGCTCCGTGGCTGCCTCCGCCGTACCCTCACTGAGGGAGGAGAGCAGCCAGTGGTGCCTGGCAAACAGCTCGCAGCCTCTGCACCCCTGCCTGGGGCTGACTGGGCAGCGCCTGGCTACTCCTGGGCGGTCCTCAGGCCAGCGTCACCCGGGGCCCCACTCAACCTCCCGAATCAGAAGCTGCTCTTGGGCAGGATCCCCAGGCCTCCACTGCCAGGGAAGGCTGCAGGGGGCTCCCCCTGAGCTCGGGCCCGGGAAGGCTGCGGGGGGCAGCAGGCAGCAGTGAGGGCTCAGCAGTGTTGCCGGCCTCTGGAACCAGGCTCCTCTCCTGGAAAATGAGGGTCTGATAGCGATGGCCGCAGGCAGAGGGGGTCAGAGGAGTGATGCTCACCGCCTGTCAGCACAGCTGGCAATGGCAGGCCGCACTCACCGTCCTTCCCACAGAGATGCCTTTTGCTGGGGGAAGACCCTACTCGCCCGACTTCTTCCTTCCTCCCGGAGGGCCACGTGTCCCTCGGCCAGATCCCGCCCTCAGCCCTGCTCCAGGAGCCTGAACTGTGTCCTTCCTGTCTCGGGGGCGGAGTTGTTAATATCCACGCCGGAGGGCGGTGGTGAGGGCTGAGACACATGCCAGGTACACGGGCCAGGTCAACAATAGACCCGCGCAGCCACCTGGCGGGAGCCGCAGCTCCTGCTCTGTGCAGCCAGCACCGTCTCAGACCGGGCGGGGGGAGAACGACTTCTCCGCTCTCCTGTCACCTGGTTTGTTTCTCTGCTCAGTTTCCCAGGGGCAGCCCAGGCTCTGTGCCCCCTCTCCCTTGGAGAGGTTCGGGAAGAGATGCTCACCGGACAGCAAGGCAGGCAGGGCGGGCCCATGGCACTGGCCCTGGTCCGTCTACCTGTGTGGCACCTGCCGGGATATCCCTACCCACCGGTCACACCGGTCACACTGGTCACACTGGTCACACTGGCACTGCAGCCCCTCCCGTTCCCAACCACAGGTCTTTCCGATGTGCAGGCGCCCAGGGCCACCGCATATCACTCTTGGGCATATGAGAACCCTCTGGCCGCCAGGGCACATGAGGGCCTGGGCATCTTCGGATGGTCTTAGGTCTGCCCGCTCCTTCCCCACGGGCATGGGAGACCCTGAGGTCCTGCCGTCTCTCGGGGTTTACCGGGAAAGGGCACAGTTGCCTCCATTCTGGAACCCCCCACGCCACATCAATCCTTTCCGGTCCAGATGGCCTGGAGCAGCCCGGCATGGCAGCTTTCATCCATCTTCCGATGTGCCGTCTCCACAGCCCAGAGCCTAAGCCCTTGGCCCTCAAATACCTGCCCTCCCTTCGCCCAGGCCACGTGCGCCTCTGACCGAACGGGAATGGAGGAAAGCAGGATGGGGGTTGATAATTCAATCTACTTTCTATCACACTGTGTTTTGTAACACGAAAAATCAGGAAGCAGAAGAATTGGGAGGACAACCTGTGAACCAGGAAGTCATAGTTCGATTCCAAGGGAGGGCACACGCCCAGTTTGCAGGCTCGATCCGCAGAGTGGGGCATACAGGAGGCGGCCGATCAATGACCTCTCTCATCATTGATGTTTCTCTCTCTCCCTCTCCCTTCCTCTCTGAAATCAGCAAATAGCATATACATGTTAAAATGGGGGGTTCGTGCCAGGCTTGAGAATAGCTTTGATGTTACTGTGATCCTCCTTGTGGTCTGAGCCCTTCCCTCTTGGGGTCCTAAGGGCTCTCCCTGACGCTGGGAACAGGCGTCTGGAAGATCCTGCTCTGCAGTATCAACGGTGCCTTGTGCCCAGCGTGCCTCTGCTGCAGCCACCAGCGCCACGCAGAGGGCCCCCTTGACCTGTTGTCTTTCTTGGTCCCACCTCGTCAGCACCCCTATTGAGCATGCTCCAGTGTGCACCAGCCAGGCCGCCACCCCGCTGCTGCCCGCTTCTGCCCAGCCGCCTATTGCTGCCTCTCCCGGCGCAGCCTTGCTACCCCTGGCTGCAACCGCTGCCCACGCTGCCGCTGCCGCTGCCTCGGCCTCTGCTTCAAGCCCTGCGGACAGTCCAAGGTAACTGCCCCACGGTGCCACCCAGTATGGGGCAGGGAGGCGGGAGGGGCCGCACCTGGCTCCGTGTGTGGGCAGCTGTGTCCCACCTCAGAAAGGCCACCCAGGTGCTCAGGAGCCCGGCCAGGAGGCCAAGGCTAGCACCGCCTGCTGCCAGAGGACAGGGCATGTGGTTGTGGCTGAAGACAGGAGGGGATGTGGGCCCCTGCCCTCTCCTTGGGCAAGAGAGGGACACACAAGCACACGCACAGTAAGGCAGCAAAGGGAGACGGACAGTCCGTTTCCGGAACTGGGCTTAGGGGAGTGGAAGTGGTCCCCTGGGCTGGGGAAGCCGAGGGAAGCTCCGAGCGGGGAGGAGCACTGACCTGGTCACGGGAGACAGACCAGGTATTTGGCAGCGGACTTGCCCTTGGCCCTTAGCCTCTGCTCTCGGGGCGGAGACGCAGGAGGCACAGGTGCAGGGCGGCTTCGACCTCTCCCCGCACTTCCTGTCGGTAATCTCCAGAAAGTCACGGAACTCCCAGCGTCAGTTCCATCTGCTCAGACGTGAATGCAGGGAAGGCTTTGTAGGGTGGGGCAGAGAAGTGTGCCTAAGCCACCGAGCACACGAACTGCTCTCAGCTCTCCGCCTGCCCTCCTGGGCCCCCGCAACGGACTGGGGTGGGACGCCCAGCAGCTGTTAGGGCCAGAGCCAGCTCTCAGCCTGCACCCCCTCCCCCCTCCCCGCCCCGGGTTTTGTGCACAGCCCCCCGTGCAGCCTGAGGAGGATGGGGGGGGGGCAGATTGGCCACAGGCCTGTGGGCTGTACCCATCCTGGGGTTGACAGTGACCCCCGGAGGTGCCGGCCCAGCCTTTCCAGCCCAACTCAAGCCTCAGGGTGAGCTCGCCGGCCTCCACCACAGCAGGATGGCTCCGGGCGGGCAAGCACAGAGAAAGAGAGGAGGGAGAGGTCCTGGGCTGAGATGAAAGGTGCCCCCAGTTTGGATTGGGGAGCTGCAGCTGTGGGCCCTGCTCCAGCTCAGCCTTTTGTCCTCAGGGCTCCTTCAACAGGCAAACCTCCCTTCCCTTTGTCTGACAAGAGAGTGATGAGCCAGTGGGAGGTAAAGGGCCACTCAGACTGTCACCGGAGCCTGGCGTTTTTGCTGAGTATCGTAATTGCTGAGTATCGTAAGCCTCGGCGGCCTCCTCCTCCTCCTCCTCCTCCAGCAGCCCTGACAGGACCCCAGCTCCTGGGTGTCGGGCGGCCTCTGCTGGGGAGGACATCTGGCTGATGCCCATAACTAGAAAGCAGGCGCCCCGCGGACACTGCCTCCTCCTCTCCCAGCGAGGCCCTACCCACTGTCCCAACAGGCCGGCCAGAGAAGGGCAGGCCCGGGGAGGGGAGACAGCATGGCAGTGTGGCAGGGCGAGCTGCACTCCACCCGCTGCACGCCCGGCTGAGTCCCTGTCTGAGGCAGAGGGTCTTGGGTCAGGGCCCCCCTTCAGAGCAGGGGACAAGGCAGGCCCCGCTCCTGGGGCTCTGCCCAGCGGGCGCCTGGGCCCATCCAGTTCAGGTTGGGGGAAGGCGGAAGCCATGGGTGCGGGGACAGCACATTTCCAGGGGCTGGCCTCTCTAGTACCCCGTTTCCCCTGGATGTGGTCACGTGGACCCTGTTGGGATCCGGAAAATGTAGGAGAGACAAGGGCATGCTCTGTGAGGTATTCTTTCGTCTTAAATGAGAAAAGGGGGGCAGGGTTCACAGACAGGTGAAATTGGGGAAACACTGGATCAGCCGAAGTAAAACAAGCTGCTGAGCTCAGGAATTCTTGGAGCTTTCAGCCCTCCGAGAAGAGGCCTCGCACAGCCTGTCCTGCGGGAATGAACGGACACTTCCTCCTTCTCTTTGGCCCCTAACACTGGGTCACAAGTGGAAAAGGCTGCTTTCGCCCTGGGGCTAGCCCCATGGGAGAGGTTGGCACTCCTTGTGGAAGAGGAGCCTGGGGTGAGCACTCTTGCTGGAGCACTCTTGCCCAGATTTTATTGCTCCCTCCAGCAACAGCAGAAAGGCGGGGGCAGGGGCTAAGGCTGTGGAGTGCCCCCAAGGTCAGAAGGTGGAGGGAGGGGGCGGCTCTGACTGCCTCCATCTCTCCTCTCTCCAGCCTCTGTGCCTCCAGCCCAGGCTGTCCCGGCAGCCCGCCCAGGGTGCAGGATCGCCCTCCTGTCCAGCTGGCGGCTTGGCCCCTCCCTCTCTGAGGCGGTGACAGCAGCAATGGGCTCTGTTTTTTGAGGTGTCTTTGCTGCTTTAACAAAACTCACCAAAGCTCCTCACCGAGGAGCAGCTTCCGCCCCTCCACAGCCTCCTGGTCTCCCTGCGGCCTCCGGCTGCCCGGACCCCCTGCCAGAGGCCTCTCTGCAGGGCTCCCGAGGAAGGAGAAGCGATGCCGGGCGGCCAGCACCCAGGCCTGGCTGTCCTTCCGGCTGCTAACTCTCCCCCCTCGGTTCCAGGCCCCAGGCCTCTGCTCAGGGCACGGCCAAGGCGACCGCTCCAGCACCTGCCGCCCACCCATACCCCGAAGCCCCAGCTGCGGCTGCGCCCAAGCCTCGGGTGGTCACCACTGCCAGCATCCGGCCTTCTGTCTACCAGCCAGGTGAGAGGGGCGGGACGGTCAGGCTGGGTGTGGCTGCAGAGGTTGGCTCCCAGGAGAATGGTGGTCAGGGGGGTCCTGCTACTGAGGCCCCGTGTGGGCCAGATCCCTATGGAGCCCGCCGCTGGCGCTGGAGAGACAGGTGGGCAGTGCCAGCTGGGATGAGCCTCCCCTGGTAGGGAGAGGACACTCCTGGCCTGGGATTCCAGCCTCAAGGCGAGAGGAGAGGGTTTCGGGGCAGCTGGTTCCTCCAGGAGTCTGGTTCTGGCTCAAGCCAGAGGGTGGGCAGCTGTACCAGCAATGCCATGGGCTTTGGCCAGCTGCACTGCCCCGCAGGGACCCTGGCACGCTGTCAGCCTGCCGGTCTTTGCTTCCTCCGCTGAGGCAGGAGGGCTGGAGGGGGAAGCACAGGTGAGGCGGCAGGGGCCAGCACAGGGCCTGACTGTGGCTGAGCACAGGGCTCTCTCTTCCATCACACTGCCCCGTTCTCCTCACGGCCCAGGACCCCCTTACAGGAATGAGGGCTCAGCCCAGGACCCCCTCTTTCCTAACCCAAACGGGGCCTGCTCCGCAGAGCAGGCAGCTCTCAGGCTGGCCTGTCCCTGCTCAGAGCTGAGGGCTCTCAGCAGGTGCCTCCCTGCTGGGGAAGGCCCTGGCGCCCTGGCCTGCAGGGGTTGCCCACAGGCCAGAGTGCTGGCAGCGCTGCGTGCCCCTCCTTCCCTCTGGACGTGGACTGGGCACTCCGGGAGGGCAGGGCCGGGCCGGGCCATCTCCTCAGCAGCACCAGAGACCCAGCTCTGCCCAGAGGAGTCCCTCAGCAAAGGAAGTGACCAGGAACGCTCAGTGCTCAGAGGCCTGGTGCTCAGAGAGCTGGTGGGAACTGTGTGTGCCCATTGGCAGTGGCGAGAGGGGCGTGGGGAGAGAAGAGGCTGTGAGCTGCATGGTCTGGTGGCCGAACACCAGGGATAACGGATGACAGGATTCCCAGAGGGATAGCCTGGGCCAGATAGGGTGTTAGGCAGGCAGACACTTTTTATTCAAACATTATGCTTTAAAAAAATTTTTTTTGTTATTGCTTTTTAGATAGAGTAAGGGAGAGAGCAATAGAAACAGCAATAGGCTGCTCCTGCACGACCCCTGCTGGGCATGGAGCCTGGGCATGTACTCTGACCAGAACTGAACCAGGAACCTTTTGGCCCATGGGATCAAGCTCAATCCATTGAGCCACACCGGCTGGGCTTAAAGATTCTACTTTCAACATATTTATTCTTACGGCCATCTTGAACTTATAGAAAAAGTATTAACCATTTTCCACTTGCAGGAGTAATACAAACTGCCTTCACTCACACACACACACACACACACACACACACACACACACCTGAATTACTGCACACATACCTTTTTTCCATCTGGTAAACCTGGCGTGTGGCAGGAAGTGAAGAGGTCCCTGTCTTGTTTGGGAAAGAATGGGGCAGCGGGTTCTGGGGGGCAGGAGGAGGCTGCTGGGTGCCTGGCAGGAGGAGAGCTGGGGAGCAGTGTGGGGAGAGGATGTCTGGTCAAGTTTTCTCACTGTGGCCCGGGAGCAGGGGAGGCAGAGATATTGAGCCGCGCAAGAGTGACAGCTCTTTATGTGGGCTCCTGCGGGGCCCGGCGCTCGGTGCTCCCGGCCGCTCGGTGCTCCCGTGGGGCTGGCAGGCCCGGCGCTCGGTGCTCCCGCGGGGCCGGCGCTCAGTGCTCCCGGCCGCTCGGTGCTCCCGCGGGGCCGGCGCTCAGTGCTCCCGGCCGCTCAGTGCTCCCGCGGGGCCGGTGCTCAGTGCTCCCGGCCGCTCAGTGCTCCCGTGGGGCTGGCAGGCCCGGCGCTCGGTGCTCCCGCGGGGCCTGGGGAGGTGTCCTTTGCAGACGGTGCCTCTGTGCCCTGGGAGGCAGGGACACAGGCTCGGAGTTAAAATCCCCGGGAGAGTGCCAGGCGGCGGCGGGCACGGGGAGGGGGAGGCGGGAGCAGCGGGCAGCGGTCCTCCCGGAGCGCGGACAGGCCTCCAGGGCGGCCCGCCCGACCCCCGACCCCCTCCGCTGGGCCAGACGTCCTCCCTCCGCGGGGAGCGGGCCGGAGAGCCGCCTCCCTCCCTCCTCCTGGCGGGGGGCGGGGGCTGGGGGGGTGACCTGGGTGCCGGGTGGTGGTGTGGGGGCGGGGGTGGCCGGCGGGGCTGGGGGCGGAGACGGGGGGGGGGGTGGCGAGTGGCTGCGGGGCCAGGCTACAGATGGAACGTCACAGGTTGGGACGGACAGCCCGGCCGGTGGTGTCCGGTCCTCCCTGGCGCTCGGGAGGCCCGGGGAGGGGGGCAGGGGAGGGGGGCGGCCGCCTTGGGGGTCCGGCTGGGCCTCTGTGGGGCCTTGGGCTGGCGGGAGGGTGCGGGGACCCGCGGAGGGGCAGGGCGCGGGCCTGGAAAGGGGCTGGGGGGGGGGGGGGGTCGGGCTGGGGCCGGGGGCCAGGCCCATCGCTGACCGCCCATCGCTGGCCGGCGGCGGCTGAGAACGCTCCCGCCATGGGGACCCTGTCATATGGGGGGGGGCCGTGTCACATTGGGGGGGGGGGGGGGACTAACGCGGCTCCAGAGCGGGCTGCGGAAGCCCAGTATAGTCACACTATCATCTCAATGTATAACCAAGTAAGCCAATGATCAATAAGACATTTTGCATCCTTTCCTTATACTACCTTCAGAATCCTGCACACACAGCACTTCTCTGTTCAGACGGCCATGTCTCAGCTCAGCAGCCACACTGCACAGCATTAAGGCTTTGTTACTCCCTTTAGCAGAGATTCCCCCACTGTACCGGCCCCCCCCCCCCCCCAAAGGAACATAATCTCACCCAGAAGCCATCACAGGCTCAGAGAGGAGCCAAGCGGCTCTGCTGCCGCCTCTGTCTCCGGAGCACGCAGCCCCTGCCCCCCATTCTGAGGCTGCATGGCACCGAGACAGGCAGGGCTCAGGAAGGGCACCACTGGAGTTTGGACTTCCCGTCACAGGCGGTCCGTCCCCCCCCTCGTGAGGCAGGCGGGGTCATCCGTCCCTCCACAGGGAGCACCTTGGGGTGTCAGGCTCCCACCCCAGCCCTCCACACCTTGCAGTCTGTGTGGGCTGGGCTCCCGCAGCGACCAGGCTGAGACAAGCTGGCAGTCATGCTGAGCCCAGGAGTCACTAATGTAGTGACACACATAACTGTGCCAGCTACTTAGCCCCCATCACAGCACTGTGAAGCACTAAGCATCATATTGCCATTCTTAGACAAGGGAATTCAGCCCAGAGATTTAAGGAAACTGCCCAAGGACACACAGCCTGGACCTAGTCGAGCTGTGCTGTCGAGGCCATGCTGCACGCTGAGGATGGGGCCTCCCCTACTGACAGTTGCTCCTCATTCACATAGTACACCAAGATTTTATGGAAATTGGATTTGGATTTTTTATGAAATTCATGCACTGGTCCCTCAGCCCATCCTGCACCCTCTCCAATCTGGGAATCTTCAAGGGATGTCTGACTGCTGGTTTAGGCCCGATCCCACAGGGGAACATCCCCTTCACAATCCAGGACTGGTAGCTCCCAACCGCTTGCCTGCCTGCCAGCCTGATCACCCCCTAACCACTCCCCTGCCAGCTTGATCAATACCTGACTGCTCCCCTGCCAGCCCAATCACCCCCAACTCCCCTCCCCTGCTGGCCTGGGTGCCCCCAACTGTACTCCCCTACAGGCCTGGTTTCCCCCAAATGCCCTCCCCTGCCGGCCTGGTCGCCCCTAACTGCCTTCCACTGCTGGCCTGGTTGCCCCCAACTGCCCTTCCCACTTGTGGCAGCTATCTTTGATTACATGAAGGCGGCCATCTTTTGTGAGGGTGTGAGGGTTAATTACCTCTTTATTATATAGGAAAATGTATCTTTATTACTGAAACTATTACAGATATTCCTTTTTGCCTCCACTCCTCCCCATTCCCACCCCTACCCAGGCCTTCACCCCGCTATCGTCTGTGTCCATGGGTTATGCATATACATATGAAAAGCTGGCGACCAGAATCCTGTAATGACCGACTGACCAGTCACTGTGATGCTCACTGCGGCCAGCGAACTGGCCCAATTCAGGGTGGGGCTGGCCAGCCAGCCTCCCGTGGCCTCTCCCCAAAACCGAAATCCGCCCTGCTCAATTGGCCACGCCCCGATCACCCCCTTACCCCAATAGGGGGCGGGACTGGCCAGCCAACTGCTTGTGGCCCCTCCTCCTGACGAGCCCTTCCCCTGATAGGCTCCTGATCGCCCCCTCCCAACTAGGACGAGGGACAAGGCCAGCGGCTACTATCCACAGCCCTTCCCCTGACCGTCCCCACCCCCCCAATCAGGGATGGGGCCTGCTGGCCAATTGCCCACGGCTCCTCCCCTCTGGCTGGCACGGCCCTGATTGGGCCCTGATTGGGCCCTGATTGGGGCAGGCCAGCCAGCAGCCTCCCACCATCTCCTCCCAACAGGCCAGCCCCAATCTGCCCCTATCCGAGCTGGGCCCGCCGATCCCATCCGTGCATGAATCCGTGCACTGGGCCTCTAGTATGCGTATTTGTTGATCTCTTCCCACCCCATCCTTCTCTCTGAGAATTCTGTCTGCTGCATGCTTCCATGTCTCTGGGTATATTTTATTTGCCAGTTTCTTTCCCTTCAAAAAAAATTATATATATATATTGATTTCAGAGAGGAAGAGAGAGGGATAGAGACATAGAAACATAGTGATGAGAGAAAATCATTGATCAGCTGCCTTCTGCAGGCCCCACACTGGAGACTGAGCCTGCAGCCCAGGCATGTGCCCTCACTGGGAACTGAACCAGGACCTCTGGGTTCAGAGGTCTACACTCACCACTGAGCCACACCAGCTGGGCATGCCGCAGCTTTTTTATCCACTCACCTACATGGGCACTTGGGCTGTTTCCAAGTCTTAGCCATTGTGTGGACTTGTGTTCTTTAAGAGGCAGCGTGGGTGAGAGAAAGAACAGCTTTGGAGACTTGCTTTTCACCCACTGCTCTGTCTGAGCCTCGGTGACCTCAGCTGCAAACAGGACTAACCAGGATGGTCTGTTATGTACCGTCTGGCTCCTCAGGGAGTGGGAAGGAGATTCCTGTGGGTGAAGCCAGCGTAGCTCCAGGGCAGGGAGGTGGAGGTTTACCCCGCAGCTCCCATAACACAGGCGGGCGCCCTCACCCAGTGCAGGGCTCCACAGAGCCAGTCTGGGAGCAGAAGGCATGGAGGTGGACAGCAGACCACTGGCCACCCTCGGCGGCCCAGGGCCCCCAGGTGGGAGGGTCCGAGGCCCGGCCAGGGCCTTTAGCCTGAGAAAAGCCTTGCTCTCCAGCTGACCCTGATGGGGTGAGGGGAGGGGTGCAGAGCCTTCTGCACAGCCCACATCCAGGCTCAGGAATGGGAGGAGGCGGCCCTGACTGGCTGCTCAGGGCGGGGAGAAGGCCTCTTTCCGTAAAAGCAGACTGACTGTCGGAAGGCATCTGGAACCTTCCTCACTGGGAGAGGATGCTGGTGGCTGGTGTGCAGGACACAGCTGGGTCTGCCCAGCGGTCCACAGTGGAGGCAGAGCGCGGAGCCTGAGTTTTGAAAGCCCAGGCCTCAGATTGCTCTGGGGAAGTATTATAACTGCAACTCTCTGTGCTGTCACCCCAAAGGGCTCAGCTCTCAGTGGGCTGGAGGAGTCCTGAGGTGCAGCTGTGCGTTCTCACACTGCTCCGAGCGACTCTCGGGTTCCTGGGACCCACTCCTTCTACAGAGGATGGGGAGCACAGGAGCCAGGCTCCTCAGCATCTGCCCAGGCTTCCTCAGTGACTTCCTCCAGCCCCACCCGCACCCTAATCAACCGAGATGCAGTCCCCCAGCACAGTTCAAGCCAAGATGCTTTTCAGGACAATGATTGTAGCTAGTCCGGAGCCCGACCCAAAAACCGACTGCCCTCCTGCCATCTGCTTTGCCCAAGCAGCCAGGCGTTCACGGGTCAGAGTGCACCGGGGGCGCCTTCCAGGCGAGGCCAAGATGGCCCCCTCAGGCCCGGAGAGGGAGAGGAGATAGTCACATGTCCTGGGCCCGCTCCGCAGGCTCCCTCGCCTTGCTGCAGTCAAAGGGCCCGGGAAGCCCAGGATGTGTGTGTAAAGGTGGAATTGTCCTGCTCCCACAGCAAGCCCCTTCCCGGGAGGTGGGCAGGAAGCTGCGGAAATGAACTCCTGACACGTTTTCTTTGGATCTTTTTGGCTTGCAGTGCCCGCAAATACCTACAGCCCATCTCCGGGGGCCAGTTACAGTCCAGCTCCCTACACGCCCTCGCCTGCCCCGGCCTACACTCCTTCCCCTGCCCCTGCCAACACCCCCTCGCCCGCCCCCACCTACTCGCCCTCCCCAGCACCGGCCTACGCCCCGTCGCCGGCCCCCAGCCACGAGGCTGCGCCCTCGGGGGCCCACATCAGGGGTCCCGCTGAGCCTGCCAGCCGCCCCCCGTGGGCCACGGACGACAGCTTCTCTCAGAAGTTCGCTCCCGGCAAGAGCACCACCTCTCTCAGCAAGCAGCCCCTGCCCGGAGGGCCCTCTGCCTACGCCCCGGGCCCCCACGGGCCCCCCCTGGCCAGGGGCACCTTCCAGAGGGCCGAGCGCTTCCCAGCCAGCAGCCGGACTCCGCTCTGTGGCCACTGCAACAACGTCATCCGGTAGGACCGGCGTGGCCCGGGCTGGGTGCTGGGTGCTGGGTGCTGGCTGCCGCCTGCGCCCTGGGGTGGGCGGGAACGGGAGGGCAGGCATCGCGGACGCCACACGCCTCCGGTCCCTCCGGGTCAGCATCAGTCTGACCTCTGAGCTGTGGCTTCCATCCCTGGTGACACCCCTCCCCTTAGGAAGTGTGTGCAGCCCCCGTGCAGTGTCTGCGCCAGGGCCGCCCCCTTGGCTCAGACAGTCCTCAAAGCAGCCACTGTGGTGGGGGAGGTGGGCGGTGGGAGGGTAGGGAGGAGTGGGATGAGGGGGAGGTGGGGGAGGAGGGGAGGGGCAGGAGGAGGGGGGTGGGGTAGGAGGGAGG